GCCATACTACGCTGTAAGTCGCTTTTCCGCCAGTCCACCCGTGATTAATACGTATAGTTTTTTCGCTGTAACCTAGCGGCGAAAAATCATATACATCCAAATGGGCTTAATGCGCGAAAACAGCGAAAGAGCGATCAACGGCGTAGAGGTGGGAAAAAATAGATCGCTAACCCAAATTTGCATAATCCTCGGGATAAGTCCAACCGGAACTCGAGAGATGCCAAGATCGGGTTGCGAATTTATTGCATAGATCATAGATATCAAGTCGGTGATGGAGTTTGAGGATACGCTAGGTGCCAACTCACTACACAAGCGCCGAGTAGTCTGAAATGATGATTTGTAGTAAAAAATGATGGTGAGCCAATTACCATGGTAGCTAGCCTCAAATGAAGGGTCCTGTACACTGCGACACTGAAATCTTGAACGTAAAGGAGGGTCAAGCGAGTTTCCAATAAATCGAGGGACAGGCAAACCAAGTGCTATTATGTGAAAGCGTTCAGACACTCTTTCAATACCCATCTCGCGTAATTGAGCTGATGAGTAATTCTGGAATTCAAAGAAGAAAATAGCAGAACAGCATTCTTGGAAAATTGCGAACTTCACCTGCTTTAGTTTGTCGTACTTGACATGATGCATGAGGAAACGTCCGTCCTCAAGCTGCATTTCCCTGAAAGAGGTCTTATGCGCAGCAGACATTTTCCAAGCACTCAAATATTCAGCAAAAAAATGACGCTGTGTGATGAATTCCATGTTACCCACCAAAGCACTTTATTGATGTTCTGTAGAATATAACGTTATTCAAGTTCTCAGTGGGATGATTACTAAGTGAAGACGACTTATGAGGACTGCTGATAAAAAGAACAAGTTCAAAAATAATTTGCATCCTTTATCAGGGATTCCAACGCGGGCTTCCTCTGTTGATAGATCTTAGCAAGTATTCTTGCATGACTCACACTACATTTAAGGCCAAAAACCAACCTGTTCTCTAAAAGATTATTAAGAATAGGCAACACATTGCGCTCCGCCTTCTCCACTCCATCAATGACCAAAACGCGACCATGCAAGGCAGCTCGAACCGCACACTAAAGAAAGTAATAGTCGGAACTTGAGATGAATTAAC